CTTACATGCCACGGCCAACTATGTGCTGGGGCTTCTGTCTTTCGACGTGGACGATCTGGCGATGACGTTGGTAGTTCCGGACGATTCCCGCAATTTGCAGGCATCCCGTTGATTAGATATTCGTCTTTAGCTGGCGTGAGATTATATTTATAAATCATCATTCAGTGAAGACAAGTCAGCGCTGCGTAGTTAAGAATAAACAATGCTGGATCAGTGTAAATTTTCAAAAATGAAGTTTCTAAGAAATGCCATTCGCGGATAGGATAACGATGGTTTTCCTGATAAAGACAAGAAAGGAAATAATATTAGGCATTCAGGAAACAAATATTTATTTTTCGGTCATATAAATGGGTACCTAATATGCCAGTGAATGTGGAGTACGCTGCGAAAATGTATACTGCAAACCACATCTCACGGTAAGGCCTCCAAGTCTGGGATAAGGGGCTGCAAGTCAGAGTCATTTCTCTTCTTAAATATCGTGAAATGAAGGTGTTCATATGATACCTTGGCAGACCAGTGATAGATAGCAAAATCACAACCTGTGTGCTATGGAAAAAGGACGGAAGACTCATGATAAACTTGCCTAGATGACCTAATTTGGGCTCAAGACTTTTTTAAAATACGCTAACTGGAAATGCGTTGTTGTGCAAGGGAATATCACCTTGAGTCAAAAAAAGATCTGCACCGAGTTATTTTAACAGATATACCGCTACTTGACCCCTACGTAACCTGAAAGTGTTGTCAGAGACGAATGCGGCACTCATATCGATTTTCAAGCTGTCAAGAAATTTGCGCTGTATGGGTGGAGTTGCGATCGAAATACGCAAGAAGGAACATGTAAAAAGCGTGACCATTAATATATCGTGGAAATAAACCAGAGGAGATTGAATCTTCAGTAATCTGGGGCGCATCGAAATAAGTGCGAAAAAACATGGATTTCAAAGTCGCGAAAAAGTTTGTGTTATATGATAAAAATCATCAGCTACTTTCGACTGGCAACTCAGTAACCACTATCAGCCGGCGTCTCGAAAGGGATGTTCCGGCGTGCAGTATGTGACGTATTTCATAAAATGTAATGTTGGAAATTAAGACGATCATTTGAGGCAGCTGAAATACTTCATATTTTTATTATTCGCCTAGCCGATTCCAGAAAATGCCTTTTATGTATTCACAATGTGTTTAAAGATAACTTTGACAGTCATAGCCGGAATCTAAGTTACCCTATATTTCGGCGGTTTCTTACGCCAATAACCACCCTATTGTATGTTTGCGCGTCCGTACATGTTTCTATGAGAAGAGGTTAATGTTAATGCAAGAGATTAACCAAACCGACTTTGTCGCACTTGAGAATTTATTTCCACACCACGTGAACCAGATAAAACGAGATGTAGGCAAGCAGTTTACTTTTTGAAAATCGGACGTTTAATGGATTTGTAAAGATCATCTTAGCAAATATATGTGATTTCATGAGATAAAAAGTAGTAATAATGTCTTCGAGCAATTCTTTATGTATGCGTTCTGATATGTTCCCGTTTTTTTCCAATACCCAGTAGGTTACTGCGGAAACGTCCTCCAAAATGTGGATGTGTTAACTTTTAAACATATGGTATAATGCTTTTGTACGGTCTAGTTGGAGCCAGTGCATAATTTAGAATCATGTCGGACAGAAAATCAGCAGTTTTCACAATATATTAGAATTTGTACGGCAAATCTCCCGAGCATTTACAATTTTCTAACGAAACCTGATAGTAAACAAATATAGCAAAATAAAACTCCGATGTAAGAGGAAAATTGGTTTTACTTCCTTTGCAACAAACAATCTATCACATATTTTCAGGAGAATGAATAATTCGACTAAGCATCTCAATTTTCACATGAAAAAAAGATAAATTACGCGAAAAGCCATCAGCGAAACATGTGTTCAAAGCGATTTTTGAGATAACAGTATATAAGAAGATGTGTTGGATACATATAAGACATGTTTCCTGCGGACGTCCTTTGTGGGCGGTCAGTTTGCTCGGCGATGACGTTTCCTGTTTGGGTGAGTCTGAAAATATCATCCAAACAGCCCTCTAACTCAGGACGAATGACCAGCAACTCACTTCTTCAGTTACTGCGTTAACAATGCATCTTATTTTGCCGTTTTTGATACACACACATGGCGGATCAATCGCTCGATAACACTGAAAATCGCGAGGACTTCACTGCTTTTTTCAGGACGATCTGAAACCCATTGTATCTCTGCACCAGAGCTAAATCTAAAGTGACTTGACGGGAGGAAAGCCCTCATAATTTACACAAAATGATGTCTTTAGGTCTGCATATTACTATTCCACTTAAATGTATTAGTCAATGATTGGACAATCAACATGTGACTTTAGGAATTTCTTGATTTCTGTGACATTCTTATCGGTGAAATCAAGCGAAACGTGTTTCCCGTAGTCAACCTCATCTGAACAACGTATGAGCCAGGTCTCGTCAAGCCGTGTAGAAATCTATACTCAAACTCTAGGCTGTTGGCTAATCGCCATACATGCCACTACAATTATTCGCGAGGGAGAGTTAATAGCAAATTTCACTGCGGAACAACTTCCATTGTTTGTGTTTTTTTATATACACGGTTTCTTGCATGGACGGGGCTTTCTGTACACCGAAAACTTAAGTATCAGTATCAGTATCAGTATATTTCAGGGAAAGTAGGTGTGTACCTTTGAAATCCCTATTGGTTACATGCAGAGGATATATATGGAGGAAATGGAGAGGAAGTAACATGAAAGAAATGCGAGGGGAATAGCAAAAACTGTACAGATGAACACAGAATGTCATGTGTTAACAGAGTTTAGAGGCACATTAACTGGCTTTGTTGGTCAAAATACAGCGGACAGTTGAGGCACACTTAAGATACGGGAAAAGAAGGAAAATTGTTTGGTCTACAGGCATCGTGGTGAATGCCAACAGCGGTGTGCGACGTGGCCCAAGCTTAATAAATAACATAAACCTATATTACTTAAATGTCGGTAGTAGCATCGTTAGAACACTAAATTGTCCGCGTTGGCTGTCAAGGTGGCCGCAGTCCGGCTCAATTAAAACAACTGATGATGTTTCCGGAATTTTGTGTTTCTCAAAAAATTGATATTTCAAAACAACTAAATGCCAATTTTCATATTGAATTTATGCTTTCAATTCGCTAAAGGTCAGTCATTAATATTTTAAAGCTTTTATGAACTCGTTTGTGTCGGTTTGTGAGTGATTAGCAACCATTCGTAAATGTCGGCACCTCTCATGAGATAGGTCACAGACTGTACGCGCATGCCCCCGAACGCTGGTCGGCTTCGACCAGTTGGTGAATGGAGAAATATTGATTGGATTCAAAGCACCGCAAGCTGGAGGTTGAGTTACTCGTGTAGGCGGACTGAGGCCGTAAGGGTAAGCGGCAGCGATAGCGACAGAGAGAGCGAGCTGCTACGATACCCCCACCTGGACCGAAGACGGCGTGTTGCGACGCAGAAGGGATCGCCCTGGACACGCCCAAATCCTCCAACTCCTGAAGTTCTGTCTCAAGACGTACTTTACGCTCGATGGATCAATATGCGAGCAGGTGAAGGGCATGCTATTGGGTTTGCCTGCGTTAACAGGACAAGAGAAAAAAATTCAACCGGTCCCGAATTTTGGCGGGCAGTCCTCTACGTGTAGAATTAGAGTTGCACACAGACCGGAGGCAACCATAAGGCGTCAGATCGTCAGGGCGAAAGACCCACTGACACGGCAGGAAACATATCGGGTCATTTCCCGGCTCTGGTGCAGTTGTGGGCAAAGCAACTATGTCGGAGAAACCGGAAGACTATTCTGGACACGGATGGTTGGGTATGCGGCAGCAGTAAGAAGGAACCACGCCAACTCAAAATCGCGGCTCATTCGACGGGACCCAACCACACATTCAATTTTGACGAAACAGAAGTTCTTTCTAGAGGCGACAATCTTGTTAGCCGCGAACTGTTTGAGTCATGGTTTGCCGGACCTCAATCTATCAACAAGTACAACTACCTCACCACCCATATTTGGCACCGAGACTTAGCCTAGGCAAAGTACTTAACCGCGGGGAGCGCGTGCGGATAACCACTGTCAACGGTATCAATGTCGGCGTGTGCGATGAGCGGGGGTGCCGATAATCTTGAGCGGCATGCAGGCACATAGTAACGGCATGACAGTGGCATACTTCAACAACTGGCCAGTCGAGTTGTGATCCCCTCGGGAGCTGCCAACTGTGATAGGCACGGAACGCCCTAGCAACTATATCCTATAAATATTGCGGCATCTGGGCAGTCCACTACCCTAATTTGAATCTGTCACTGATGTCGGATTCGAGTGAGAATCCGAAATGTTAGGCTAATAAACACTCGTTCCAGCGATCGTATTTCCTTCTCCGGAATGTTTATTTTTCAAAATCATAAATAAACAAACGGCCAGGAGAGTGAACGTGGAGTCTACTGCGCATGGTACAGACATGAGGGTGAGGATGAGATGGCTGAGTGCATTCGGTGGTGAAAAAGTTTGAGGAGGGGGAGGAGGATGAGTTAACAGTTGGAGACTACGAACATGGCGGACCAGGAACTGGACGGCATGGAGGGACAGAGGGTGTGGGGAAAGAGACAGGGGGTAGGGGATGTGATGGAACATGGAACAGGGCGTCAGCACATTTCTGTCCTTAGTGCAGGTTAGGCTGTGCGTTTAGAACGGCAGCCATTAACCAGTGGATGCTGACGACGACCGCGTCACTGCGAAAAATCTGGCAGGTCTTGCGAATGAGTGAGAATGTCCAAAATGGTCCTTCATTGCACTCACACATTCACCTCACGCATCTGCCTGGTCGTCCCCTTACGAATCCATCGTACAGAGACTTGCGAACCAGCGCCCGTCAACCAATGTTCAGCCGCCGTATCCGCCTTCACTGTCCACACTGTCCACGCACATTAATTCATCGCATGAGCATATTCAGTCGCATGCGCATGCATGACAGAGGGACTCAGCGCAGTATCAACACAACTGATACACTTTGCACATCCAACATGCCCAACCCAGTCAACTCCCCATCACCCACCACCACCACCACCACCACCACCACCACCACCACCACCACCACCACCACCACCACCACCACCACCAACACCAGCAACACCACCACCACTGAAAGCGACTCACTGCTTCCGACCCATCTTGTTCACACTGCCTCTGAATATTCAACTGACGAATCGGCCTCGTAGGACACTTTTGAATCTATCTCATAGCGACGAGCGAGCCAGTGCCTGGAACACTAAAGTACGCCTAACGCCATCGCTTCAACTGTCCGCACTGTCTTCGCACATTAGGCTACCGCATGGGCCTGTTCGGTCGCATGCGCATTCATGAAAACCTGCGGCAGAACACCGCCGGCTATACCATGCCATCACATCTCTCCTCACTGACAGCTGCGACCCACATCAACATCATCCATCATTTCATAACGCAAACATGTAATTGACAGCTTTCACGTGGGTAGGATGCATACTGCTTGGCTCGTTCTGTATGTGGCTTCTCTGTAACATGTATGATCCGAACTTAAGACCATCACGGTGCGTACTCTGTATAGTGGCTAATTGACGGGATAAAACGGAAGTCGCAATCAGCCCAGTGTGTGTTTGTTTGAAGTTGTCGAATGGTGGACCGGGAGTGACGCTGCCATGTGATCTCTATGGCACTCTTACTGTGTGGGAATCTTTCCGGGTGTGACTACATGCCTAGGGGCGGCTACGTTTGGCCGGCCGTTCCCTTCTTTTTCTCGAAGTTCGAAATTCTGACTCATTTTATTATCTATGCTCCCTTCGAACCTTTGACTGTGATTGCCCTTCGCCAGAAAGCAAAAGTGATTTATTCGGATCGGAGTGGTTTCTCTCTTTCTTCCTGTCTTACACCGTAACTTGTCGCGGGTAGTTTGAGTAAAGTTAAATTAGAGATGCGATCGGGCGTAACGGATGCGATTTAGTAAGGATGTCGTTCAATGTGCATCAGCACAAGCTTTGCTCTCAAAGACGTAAGACGTGTCTTATTGACCACAGTTTAAATGCGCCAGAGCGGTTTAGCGCCCATTATCGGGAGGAACTGCATTGTCCTGCTGACTAGGGGACTTAAAAGCCCAAAATGAATGCAAGATCATTTTCAAGAATCCCACCAGGAGATTTCGAATTTGTCAGAGCTGCCGGCAGTGGTAAAACGCATCCCAAAATCGCATTGAACCATTCCTCGTATCAAATAATGCCAACATCACGGATACTGATGCCCGCAGTTTGTCCTGCAGCATGCTGGGCGCAAGAATAGTAAAGTTCCCTTAAACTAGTTTTTAGTGACTGCAGACTTGCGTAGTACCTCTCACGCTCTTTTCTACCATGCCTCCTTGCTGCAGTGCCAATCGAAGGTCGGAAAGACTGAAGGCTACCCGACTCAACAAATGACAAAGCTAAACAACTCGTCTGCGCTTGATTCACACGCCTGTTTTGCGTACGATGTACCATGTATGGAAGCGAATATGCGAATCCCAGGTTCTTGTTGTAAAGAAGATGAAGATCCGATCTCTGGGACAGTGGGTTTATTAGTCGTGGCCCTGGAGGAGGGCCACGAATTCAACTTTGCGAGCACGTGGATAGTGGCGCGGGCCAGCAATAAGACAGGACGTGAACTGTTAGAGGCCTGGGTGTCTGGCACCAACTCTATCAACAGGCACGTTGAAATACCCCCCTGCTATCACGCGCTCCGTTCCCGCGGCCAAGGGGCGAGACCCAATTTCCAGCCAAGGGTGCACGCAGTCACGCCACCGTGAGACGGCGTGGGACGCAACTTATCGAGAATACCACCCGCTGCACTCATATCTCCCCTCCCCCTTCATGGCGTGACTACAAAAACCGCTCATTTGATGTTGCCTGCTCACAGTCTCTGACGATGGCCTCCTGTACGAGACCGAAAGCTCAGACTAATAAACCCACTGTCCCAGAGATCGGATCTTCATCTTCTTTACGATGTACCATGTTTTCAGAATAGCAACTAATGGTCTATCCGTTCCCAACTGTGAAGGAATGTTATTCATGTTGTCTACAGTGACGGAAATGTGCTGATTTCCGTGGAGATGGAGTCTCCAAAATCGATTTTACTCACCATTCCCTCTTACAGGCACCAGTCCATCGCTGGAGCCGATCAGAAATCTGGTTCTGGGATTGGACGCAAGTGACTGGCTCGGTCTGACCATGCACCCGGGCGTGTAACCACAACCTCATGAACGACACTTTTACGAGTTCAAGAGTAAGTCTTGCAGTGCCTTAAGCTAGCCGCCGTGTTGGTACACAATATCTCCCGCGTGATCCGTTATAGGGGATAAACCGGCATATCGACAGTTCGACCGTCGTATCCGACGATGTCCATTGTGTGTTTCACAGCAAGCCAAAGCAGGCACGGTGACTGACGCTTGAATTAGTTTATAGTGTGAATAGACTTGTGAAGCCTCTACCGCACTCTCCTCCCCCGCGTTCACCCAGTACCAAGAGCTAGTCAAGAGGTGGTCGCGGCAGGAGAGGGTGCAAGTAGCTTGCGCGTATAGATCCGCATATAGGCGTACCACCACACCTCCTGGTTCACAACAAACACTTAACCTGGATTTGACCAGCAACAAAATAGACGGGCCAGAAAGAGGCGGATGACTGGGCGACCATGCGCACGCCCTGCAGACACAGCGAGAGCGCAAGCGCGTCTACTGGTTGTGACCAGATGCCAGAAAATCGCAATTGCGCATCAAGCCGCGAGGACCATGGTATAATCATCCTGGCATAGCAGATGCTCACCATCTGTGAGGACCAGAAGGGCGATACGCAGCCCTGATTTGCCTAGGCCCTCAGGGTTGAAAGGCTGGCATATTACACACTCAGTAAGAACAGCCCGGCTGTCCCTCCGACGAATAATTACTTAATTGGGGTTGTTTTATTGATCAATGTGCATAGAATATCTCACACTTGAGGTTTGGTGCCTAGATGATGACTCCATCAGTTGGCGTCTAGACCTTCTAAGTCATCACAAAGGCCATGACAAGGACACGATGGTCATACATCGTTGAGCATTACCAAACAAATACGGCCCGTCGAAAAATTCACCGGAAAGAGAAGCACAGGTGAAATCATGAGGGCATTCCCCGCGGTGAATTTACGTGTATGTTTCATAATCGCTACCCTCCTACGTTTGGGAGGTAAAGACAGACTATCGTTGGAGGCCACATCAATGTGCATCTACTCATTCACTTGCTCCTGTGGGGCGGGATGCATCGGCCGTACAACGAGATGCCTGGTAAAGAGGGTGCGTGAACATATGCCCGCCTGGCTAGACGGAGGTGAGACCCGATCGATTTCGAGCTCTATTCTTGCATATTTTATCGATACGAATCACTGAGTCGATGCCAAGGAAGAACTTAAGGTTGCCTACCGGACACCAACAAGCTTTTCTAAAGACCTGCGTCAACGGATACTGGCGACGGCCGAGGCAGTGGCTTTACGGCTAGCGAATCCGGTATTATGCTGTCAGAAAACCCTGACATAAGCGCTTTGTCCGCCGTGGCCAACGCAAACCTCAAGCGATGACGACATGCCGCCTCAAATCCCTAATTATAGTGATGGGTACTCCGTGTACTCAATACAACAACATCACTCAAAGACTCACTTACTCACTTTCCTGACTCTGAGGACCAAAACTCGCCGAACTCGCCATGCGGGCGGCGTGGGGAAGATGAGTGTTAATGACTTAATAACCCTTGAGACACCTGTAAACACTGTTAATTTTGTACAATTTCATTCCTTCATGTAAGTGTATTGGCCTGACGAAGAATTACGAAAACCACGTGTTTGCCAACTTGACTTTCCATATACGCACAGAACAGATCCAGCCGGAATATTTAAGGGCAATTTTGCCTTGATAGGTGGAAGTCGAACTTTGCAACCGACATTAAACAAACAACTCAAGTGGTGATTTGCTAGGCTGGAGTCGTCATAATTGGCAGTTCATCTACGAAATGTTTAAAAGTTGACTGGGAAATCAAATAAAAGTCAATGAAACTACAGAAGATGTGCTAAATCATGAAACATTGGGCGAAATTCTGAAACGCGTTTTAAACTCAAAAAGTTACTATAATGTGGTTGTAGTACTAATCACTGTGCAGCACAACCCCATATTCATTCAGTTAGTTCAAGATGCCGGGTTTTTAACGAACTTTTTCGGCCGCCTGCAAACCCACACTCTGCGAAAATAACTATTTCGGTGGTATTAATTTTTCTCTTCGCTTTTCTCTGCCTTTATAAATTCGAACATTTTTCATAAAAAAACATGCCTATACTATTCGTTTTTCCTTCATATTGTAGAACATAACGTTTTTATTTTATGGTATGCCTGAGAGGAGCGTATAACTCAGTTGTAAAAAGTTTCTAAGCAATAGATTGCTAAGAATGCAAAATGCTTGCCCATAAAGGCTCGTCTCACTGCATTTGATAATGTTCCTAGCAAAGTTTAAAATATGGCTCAAATCCACTGCTTAATTTTATGAACACCATATGATCATCTCTTAATACC